GTTACCACAATAATAACGTAGTTACTGTAACGCGTTATTCCCAACACTGTTTATGCTGTGATGTGATGCTTTGGTGGCCTTTCATTTCCACTTTAACCCAGGACATTCGGCTGCAGCCAAGTGACAACTCTACAGAAGCGACAGAGTGGTCTAGCATTGAACCAGGCTCAAGGAGGGGTGGCCATCTACCACAACTGGTTGGGGATGAAGACAGAACAAGGACATGCTGCGGAAGACAATTAGAGATGAATAACAACTAATAAGTAAATGCAGAGTGGTGTATAAACCATAGTGAGTGAAAAAGGTTGCTGTTTCTACTTTAATCCTATAACACACAAAAAAAAGAAAAATTGTTTAAGTAAATAAACCGTAAACTAGCATTTGATGCGGACACAATATGAGTGGCTGTTCATAAACATGACTGTCACAGCCAACAATGCCAGTGATTTAGTTGGCCAAGACATCATCATTTACACTTATGTATTTCTACACAACAGAAAGTAACTTGGCATTAAGATTTTCAGTACAGTGACCAGAATTTCTTGTTTCACTCCATCCTTACTTTTTGTATTTTTTCTTACTTTATCTTATTGCCTCTATTCTTTGTATCTTTGTAGTTTTCCTTAGTATTGCTTAATTATATTTTACTGCTTTGCAAATATGGCGCATTTACCTAATGCATCTTTTAGGTTTACTGCACAGTTTATTAAGTTGTGTTTGAGCTTGTCAGCGATTTGAACTATATCCAGATTTTTACAGATCACCATGAAGAGGCGATCGCTCCTCTATGTTGTCAACTTCTTGCTGCCTGTCCTCTTCTTTTTGTCTTTGGACTTGGCCTCCTTCCTGATCTCAGACAGCGGGGGTAAGAAGCTCAGCTTCAAGGTCACTGTTCTGCTTGCCGTCACAGTGTTACAGCTTATCCTTAATGAAATTCTGCCTGCATCATCAAACAGGATCCCACTTATAGGTAAAGAAGCACAAAAAGTCTTGCCTTCACTGGATACTTCATACTGTCTTAATGAAGGGTAAATTGTCCACAATACTGATCATCCTGCTGCCTTCAGCGGTCTCTTTGCTTTGATCTTTGCTCTGATGATGCTAAGCCTTCTGGAGACCATTCTTGTAATGTATCTGATGGAGAAAGACTCTATATCCCAAGAAACTGAGCCCAAGAAAGACCAAAGCCCGACAGAGGATTGTACTAAACAGGGTAAAGCCAGCCTTCGCAGCTGTCACAGCGGTAAGAGCTGGAGTCTTTTCCAGCACAAGTTCAGCACTACTCTTGTTACAGTCCAGTGCATTGTTAACTCTCCACTGATTATTGGCTTTACGTAATGAATAAACGTTAGGTGTCCAAATCTTAGGTCCTTTCATGAATCTGTAACAACATCAAACACTCTGCTCACACTTTGGATGCCATTTTTGGGTTTTTGATTTAAACATATTCTGTTAGCTTAAATCTGGTGAAAATTGTCTTTTCAGAACTGCACAAATAGACCCAGGGTGTGTGTATCTACGCCAGTGAAACTCCATCTGAACTGCTGCATGAAGCTGAAGAGGTTAGAGCTGGGTGTAACTCCTGTCCAAATGAAGCTAAATATAAACGCATAACAGCTGAAATTATGACACTATATAAACTAGTCCACTTTTGCAGGCCAGCACCAGTAATGAGCACCACCATGCTTTGGAAAGGCTTTCAATTGAGTTGAGGGAGATAGAGAAAATGCTGACTCGGCTACTCAATAACAAGAGAGAAGAGGACAAGCCTGGCTACTGGACCGAAGTGGCAAAAAGAGTCAACAAAGTAGTTACTCTGTTTTTATCTTTGATTTTCTTAAACTGGAAAACTGAGTAGAAATTACATTTCTACATAATTAAAACAGTGAGAGTACCTTTAGTACAACTACTGGCTATAGGAAAGGTACGAATAAAGCTGACATAAGGTATAGTTTAATGTGCATGAATGTCACCCCTCTACTCTCTGTATGGGTGACCGATTCTATGTGGACTGGGCTCCTACACACAGGTCCATGTTTACATACATTAATTTCCTCAAGACTTACCATAACTTGCCTTACTCTTTAATCTGAGAGCTGGAAAGAGAAGCTCAATATCGTTCTCATCTCCACACCACTGGAGCTTTGTGTAAATGTGGGCATGCTTACTTTGGAAAGTTAAATATTTCAGTTTTTTTTTAATTTTGAGAAGTTACTTGAGTTCTTATAACAGACAAATGCCTAACATATAATATTTAGGTCATGTTAAACAGCTAAAAACTCAAACTGCTGTTGCAATTTTTCGTATTCTTTAGTCTGTATTAGAGCAATTAGAACAGCTATCCAGAATACGGTCAAATCAGACTCCCCACCCTGGTGTTGAGGCGCTTTGTTTCTGAAAATTTGGGGCGTGACCTTAGAGTGTATGGAGGGCCAGGAGTGACAAAATGAATCAATTAAATATGCCATTAAATAATCCATTAAATATTTCATTAATTAATTAAAAGTGGAATTAATTAATTAATTGAATCAATATTTCAATAATTACTTAAAAGCACATTTATTTTGTTTAAAATGTTTAGTAAATTATTTTTTTATTTATTCTATTAAAATTTTATTTTAATTAATTACACATTTAATTAGTTATTGACATAGTTAATTAATCATTTATATGTTTGAAATTGTAATCAACCAAGGAAGCATTTAATTAATTATTTTATGGCATATAAATTAATTAATTCTGTCACTACTGGCCCACCATAAAGGGAGAGGAGCTACAGACAATATGAAACAAAGATTAATTTGAACTATGAAGCAAATGTGATGGAGAGGGAGAGAGCGAGAGAGAGAGAATGAGGAAAACAGAGGACAGATATATGAATTTCAGAGCTGTTTATCACAATATCAGTTACACCAGATAACACATTTGTAGTACTATCACTTAACAGCTATAATGAAATGATAGTGGCAAGACTGGAGGGTTTTAGACAATACCTTTGGGTCTGATATCAATGAGAGGAGATAAGCGGTAAAATATCAAGGCAGAATTGTACACATTTGCAAACGTACGTGTGAGGTACAACAAATATCAGCACTAAAAGGTAGCGGGAGATTGTAGATGGTATTTAGATAACTGGGGTGAAGATTAATTGTCTGGGAAAATTGAAAATATCACAAGTGGAGAACACAAAGGCATCTTGGAAAACACTTACCTTTACCCAGGTAACAAAGGCTGTCAGGACAGCACGAGTGGAACCTAGCAAATCCAAACAAAGTCCAGAACAAAAACCTAGGAACAACATGGAAAATGACTTAAGAAGTCAGGAGAACATACACGGGACTTACAAAAGATCTGAACAGATAGACAGACAGTAGACAACAACAAAAAGAAATCACTGTCAATAAACTTTCTCATCTTTTCCAAACACGGCCTCACTCCCTCTACTGATGGAGCACTTGCTGTGGTCTCTCCCACACCACTTATTACATCTCAATATGCTGAAAATAAAGATGCAAACATGTAAAAGCATTTACCCACATCCTGATTTTACCCGAGATTGTGAGGAAATGATTTCCCAGATACATTACGAACATCTCTCGACTGCAATTACTGCTGTTTTCAAGTCGCTTTGCATAAATATCTCAAACACACAGCATGAACATCAGCCTTGAGTGGTTGTTGTGAATTCAAATACTTTTACATTTTAATGTATCATAAATGCTCTTCACTGGTTGTTTGGATGGTTACAGGAAGTTCTGTTATCCTCGCTGTTAAAAACGCAAGATGTTAATGTCTGTCTGTTTGTTTGAGCTTACTTTTGAAATTCTACGACTACTGCTACTACTAATACTAATATTAATAATAATTCAGAATTAAGTAGCACAGTTTTTCCAAACACCCTAGTTTTTTATATATTTTTTTAGATGGTTACATTATTTTACTTTGTACACAGAGTTACAGTTTTTCACAAAAACCAAAAACCATGGTTAAAATTATGAACCCCCCACCTGACCTCCTGAAGTAATTTGTTGTAGTTTTCTACAAGTCTCACACACGTCTGCTCAACAATCCCAGCCCATTTTTCTCTGGCAAACCTCCCAAGCTCCCCAGACTTGATGGTCTTCTGGCTCTGATCTTGGTCTTAGTTTACCCCACAGATTGTCAGTGGGATTTAAGTCAGGGTTTTGTGCAGGCCAGTCAGTAACATTCACTTTGGACTTCTAGATTTAAACGTACCTCCATATAAAATGTGAAAGTGTGATTAGGTGGAGGGGAAATGTCCTTCCCAGTTACTGTATTTAAATATATCGGAGGAGCATAGCAATCTACACAAATTGTAGAATCGCTCCTATATATATTTAATACATTCGTTTTAAGTTTTTGCAGAATGCATCGGTTGGTTGGAATTTGTAACTTCACAGTATTTTATGTATATTTATGAATACAGAATCCTTTTCTATTAAAGTAAAATAAAAAAAATTACTGGCTG